GTTGAGCTCGCTGTCTTAACGCCTTGCTTCTATCCCTTCTAGTATTTCTGTATTATTTTTCCTCTAAATATATTCAGGAATATATTTTGGCTAAGGCAAGAAAGCAAATCTGAAACAAACCCCTCTGCATGGATTTGGCTGATAGACATACATCTCGGTTAAAGGTGTAGCTGTTTCTTGTTCAATATTCTTTCAGAAGCCTAACGATAATGGGAATATATAGGGATACCAGGAATTTCTTTTTCCTTTAAGGATCACATCATGGAAATATTTTCTACATACGGAAAGATCAAGATGATTGATATGCCAGCAGATAGGCTCAACCCGCATCTTTCCCGAGGCTATGCCTACGTAGAGTTTGAGAATCCAGATGATGCTGAAAAGGCACTGAAACACATGGATGGAGGTAGGTGTCTGGAATTAAGAGGGTTCCAGATCGAGTGTCAAGGAAAATTGGGGCGGGGGGGGATTAAAGGGGGCTCCTGTGGACTTCAGATGGCTGGCTGGGGAATTCTGGGAGTTGAAATGCACACTTCTTCAATTTGCCACGGTTCAGAAACACTCTTTGCAACGATAGATTGCTAATTATTGGTAAACTTTCGTCTCATTGACATGTTTTTCCTACTGACTTCCTTTGAAATGAACATCCATCCATTCCCAAAGCACCCACGCCCTACATTTTCCCCCTCTCCATGTGTGCTACAAGAACAATTTCCAGCTGGCATTGTAAGCAGGCAGAATGAGAAAATGTGCTTTCTAAAGTGGTCTTATAGCTACAGCACCACGATATTCTTCTGTGATTCAAACAGGTCAAATCGATGGGCAGGAGATTACCGCCACAGCTGTTTTAGCTCCTCGTCCAAGACCTCTTCCAAGGCGTTTTACCCCTCCCAGAAGGATGTTGCTACCACCCCCTATGTGGCGCCGCTCACCACCACGCATGAGGAGAAGGTAGGTGGCCTTGATCAGGGATAATGGATGCCAGCCCTTTCATGCTTATAGATCAAGAAACAAGACATTCCAGAAATGCCACTCTATGGTTGCAGGGTGCCATGATACCTTAAAACGTTGTTGAAATTTCTTTCTTCTTCATCTTGTATTAAACAGAATCAGTGCAAGGAGATTTGGAGTTTTTTCTTCTCACACTGCTGTCAATTTCTGGACTATGTAATTGCTTCTCTGAGTCTCCCTTTAATGGCTCTTGCATTCCTTCTGAATCCCTTCCCAGTAAGGCAGGGCTATTGTGGTTAATCAGATATGCATCTTTCTTCCGCACCTTGATAGAAGCAGTCGTTCTGACCTAGGTTTCCCAAGATCATGAACCAGATTCCTCATCCCGATAAAAACCCCTTTTATTTAGGTTAAAGGGAATTCCTCTCCAGCAAAGTCCCGGCAAACAGTCTTTCATGAGATTTCATAGCTACAGACCTTCATCGGGTTTGGAGAGTTGCCAGGCTAATATCTTCCAAACGCCACGCTGTAGCAGCAATTACTTTGCAAGAAGTCAGGAACAGATCTTCACCTTAATGAATTGACCTAATTGTCTCCTGCAAACACCACTCCCCTTTTGCTCCTCTTTATTCCCCATAGGAGGGGCCATTCACTGTCTACCTGTGCCTTTACTTCCAAGTCGACCCTTGTTCCTTAGCTGTTCCCTTCTCCTGGCAGCTCTGTGCATGCACATAACTGGGAAAAGGCTCCAGCTGTTTTTCTGCCTCACTGATGTCTGAATCCGAAGGCAGCTAATAACTGTAAGACAGCCCTGGCCCTATCTCTGCCTCTGACACAGAGCACTCGTCACAGTCCAGACTCCAGGACTGGCCCATGTTCCTCCCCAACCTCCTCACTGTTCGAGTCTGTCGCCAGCTCTGCTGGCCGCTGTCAAGCCACAACAGCAGTATTTTTGTAATGGAAGTGTATGTACCTTGTCGCAATAAGTTTATTCATGTTTTCAATTGTCAGAAGGCTTCTTGAAACCCTTCTTTGGGAGCCCATTATTGTGGTCATCAAATAAAACTCTATTTTTATTATACAGGGACACCTGTCCTCGGTCCTTCCAAACGCATCCAAGAAACTTGAGTTTCCCATTCAGAAAAAGGCAGGCAATAAACAAATAGCCTGCGAAAACATCTTTGACTTGTGCTGATTATACTGTACTAAGTAGGTGGGGCTCTTCTTCATCTGAATCTGTTTCCTTTCAGATCCAGGTCTCCCAGGCGCAGATCCCCAGTTCGCAGGCGATCCAGATCCAGATCTCCAGGCCGGAGGCGTCACCGCAGTCGATCCAGTTCCAACTCTTCTCGATAAAACACAGGACTAGGCAGTTCTGGGGTTTTTTTTAAAAAAAAAGTTAAAAATGCACCCATTTAAAATGGTCTCTTTTTTAAGGAAAAAAATGGAATCAGAATAAAGGGACGGTTGAGAAATGAGAAAAACTAGCTAAGAATCTTGGATCGGATAGGGTGGAGATGTTCCTTTGGTTTTGACATTCTCAAAGATAATTTGTTGTTTTAGACATAAATCTTTACAATTCCAAGAAAATTGGCTGCATCCCAGACATGCCAAAATGGCTCGGACATACATTGTCAAAATATCTTTGTCCCCTTTCACTAAATCAGTACTTTTTTATACCCCCACTTTGTTTCTAATCCTCTTGCCAGCCCAGAATTATATTTTGGCCGTTGGCCATATTGGTTATTGAATCTGTGACAAACTGAAAATACCCCTTAAATTAAACTCTTATTAATGATAGAGAAAAAAAATCCCAGTTCCTGCCAAGAACGCTGTAAATCTTTTGCTTTTTAGAAGATGTGCAAAACACATGAGCTGAAAAATTGTATTTTCCTGATCTCTGTTTGGGAGGTGGGTGGAAGCGAGGATTTTGTGATTGGAATAACTGAGGTTCGGTTTCTAAAAGGCCAGAGAGCCTTCAGCCTGTTGTACAGTCATTACTATAAAGTTTGATTTTTGTATAACTTGGTGGCATCTTGTAGTCATGTTGTGTTTGTACTTGTGTAGAATGACAAATAAACCAATAAGGTTTAGGGTGTGAACGAATTATTGCTCATTGAAAATTACGGTAATCATCTTGGTTTAATATTTTAGCAAATAAGCCGGCAGTGAATGCTGGGCACCACTAACAAGGATCAGAAAAACACTCCAGAGTGTCTAGGTTAGGTTTCCCTAACCTGGTGTCTTCTGGGTCAGTTAAGACTACAACTTGCAGCTTAGATGAATTATCTTTGCGTGGATCGAACTATATTGGGGAGAAAATATATTTAATATTTTTACTCCATAAACCAGTGTTTGTCAACCTGGGCGGCTGTGATGTGTGGAAATGAAAAACCCCGCCACAGACAAGTTTTTACATGGTTGGATCTTGCAATCTCTATTAATACCTACATCAAGGGCAGTTAATCTCAAATACTTAGGGTCTCCTGTTTGAGTAGGGTTTGGACTAGAAGACCTCCAAAGTCCCTTCCAACTCCAGTTATTCTGTTATTCTGAAGACTTGGATAGTAACTGTAAATGCAGTGTTGAATAAACCTGTGTATTGAGCAGAGTTACCATTGCAGTAATTTTGAAGGGGAACTAGTCTTCCAAAGAGGTTCAGGGAGAGTCACACTAGAGTGATTATCAACCCATTGGTTTCTCAAGAAAGCACATGCTCAGATTCTCTAAATCTCTCTCTCTTTTTATGGGATCTCAGATCTGCTCTTTTGATGAAGTGCTGGAAATCAAGCATGAACTACATTCTGCTATATGTTTAACAGATACACACACACACAAATACACTCTATATTCTATGTCATGATTAAACCAGATCTGGACTATTGAAAATGTAACAAATACATTAAGAGTTAACATGAATAACTCAGATGCCCAGATACCAACATCTTGTAGGTGTCAACTGTTCCATGTAGAGCAGTGGCCCCCAACCTTTTGGGCTCCAGGGACTGGTTCCATGGAGAAAGGTTTTTCCCCAGACCGGAGGGAACATGGTTTTGCGTGCTGCTGCCTGCATCCTGAAGGTGGGGCATGCTTTGTGCAGATTGGGGGTGAGGGACCCCTGCTGTAGAGGCCAAGAACTATGGCTTTTATATGATGCAAGCTGCAGTCACTATTTTAAAGCAGGGGTCTCCAACCTTGGCAACTTTAAGCCTGGAGGACTTCAATTCCCAGAATTCCCCAACTGGCTTGGGAATTCTGGGAGTCGAAGTCCACCAGGCTTAAAGTTGCCAAGGTTGGAGACCCCTGCTTTAAAGTGTACAAATGCAGGCAATTGTGTGGATGCAGTAACCCAGGGGGGTCTTCAAACTTGACAGCTCAGGAATTCTGGGAGATGAAGTCCAGAGCAGTGGCCTAGAGACGGAGCTCTCACCTCACAATCAGGAGGCTGTGAGTTTGATCCTAGGTAGAGGCAGATATTTGGAATAGACACTCCTACTTGAGCAGCGGGTTGGACTAGATGTCCTCCAAGGTCCCTTCCAACTCTTTTATGTTCTATGTGCCTTCACATTGGACAATTTCTGTCCTCTTTAAGTCTTAAACTTGCCAAGTTGGAAGACCCTTGCAGTAACCCAAAAAATCAAGCGCAACATAGATTACTACCACCATGCAAAATAAACAAAAAATGCATGGCAATATAAACAACAAGCAAAGAAGAGGGTGCATTTTTCTCCCTGACGGATGGAACTTTTAAAATACATTTCCTACCCCTTTTTGCAAACGCCCTGTGAATACAAGCTCATTTTTGAACGCGTAATAGGAGAATACTAGGGAGGGGCGCTCCTCGGTTACTGTCTCTTTAAGACGGGTGGGCGGGATGAAGGGCGGCCTCGCGCGCCAGTTTTGACCAGTCGCGGGGAGAGCTAATTCGTCAGGCACGCGAGAGCGGTGATAGAGTTTGAAAAAGCGGGAGCTTAGAGTGGCCCTCAATTCTTAACTTCCTGTCACGAGGGAACCCAGATTGATGCCAACCGCTCCAAGTCTCTGCGAAGTTGGCACAGAGAGAAATCCTAGAGCGCCCTTTGTTTTCTTCCGAGGCGCGTTCGCAGAACTCGGGTCGGCTAAAGTGAGTGATAACCCAAATATAATAAACCCCTTTGAATATAAATATATATATTATGTAACATAATATGTCTGTGTTCAGACGTTCTGGAGTTCGTAAAACACCCCTGTTGGGTTCACACGTGACGTGCATTGCTTAAATTAATTTTGCATTGCTTAAATGCATTGCTTAAAATTGTAAATTCTGCATTGCTTAAAATTGTATATTCTGCATTGCTTAAATGCATTGCTTAAAGTTGTAAAGTAAAGTCGTAAAAGCTGGTTCAAAACCAAATTCTACAGCGCTGTGTAGCTTCCTCGTCACAAGTGTTGCCATAAATGTGTGTGTGTGTGGGGGGGAGATATAGTAATATATTAAATCTGTATACTTTATATAAACTTATGGTTATTATTATAAACGTATGTTTTCCTTCCCAAAAGACCAGCCGCTCATAGGTGACTGATGTATTTTGCATTATCCTAACAAGTTTTTTCCTTATCCTAATGAGTTTCTGTTTTTTCTTAAGAGAACAGTTAAATAGAATAGCATAGAATTCTTTATTGGCCAAGTGTGATTGGACACACAGACAAATCCCGGTGCATAAGCTCTCAGTGTGTACATACAAGCAGTACTATTGATAAATCATGATCATAGTAATGGTAAAAATACATTTATCATAAATCATAAGATACAACACTTAGTGATAGTCATGGGATACTAAATAAGCAATCAACATAAATCATACTAGGATACTAATTAAACAATATAAATCATAAGATACAAGCAACGAAGTTATAGTCATAAGATAAGGAGTTAGGTAATAGGAAAGATGAGAATAATATAATACAACCTTACTAGACAGCTTAATAGTGTTGTTGAATTAATTGTTTAGCAGAGTGATGGCATGGGGGAAAAACTGTTCTTGTGTCTAGTTGTTCTGGTGTGCAGAGTTGTTCTATAGTGTCGTTTTGAGGGTAGGAGTTTATGTCCGGGATGTGAGGGGTGTGTAGATATTTTCACAGCCCTCTTTTTGACTAGTGCAGGATACATGTCCTTGATGGAAGACAGACTGGTTGCAAGGTTTTTTTCTGCAGTTCTAATTATCTGTTGAAGTCTGTATCTGACATGGTTGGTTGCAGTCCCCAAACAGACAGTTATAGATGTGCAGATGACAGGTTCATTAATTTCTCTGTAAAACTGTATCAGCAGCTCCTTGGGCAGTTTGAGCTTTCTGGGTTGACTCAGGAAGAATATTCTTTGTTGTGCTTTTTTGATGACGTTTTGATGTTAGGTGTCCATTTTAAGTCTTGAGATATTATAGAACCTAGAAAGTTGAAGGTCTCTATTGTTGATACTGGGTTGTCTGGTATTGTAAGAGGAGGTAGTATTGGAGGGGTTCTCCTAAAATCTACTATCATTTCTACAGTTTTGAGTGTGTTCAGTTCAAGATTGTTCTGGCTGCACCTATGCTCCTACTATCTTCTGAACGGTGTATCAAACTTCTCGTTTTTCCTTCTAGAAGCAGCCGGGAGAAATGGATCCTAAGTTGCATGATGTTCGTAATACAGTGAAAGAAGCAATTAGCACCCTACATTCTTCCAGAGATAGTGCACATGTCCAGGAGACTTTGTGGGCAGTCAGGAGGTATCTTGATGAATCTGAAAATCCACCCTCCATAAAACAGAAGGAAGAATTTACCCGCAATCATTTTACTGTCTTGGTTCAGTCTCTGCTCAGCAACCTGAGTCCTGATTGGCCAGAGCAGTTTCCATCAGAGGAAGCCAAAGAACTGTGGGCTAGCTTCTTCATTGATGGACCAGCAGATCAATCTTTTATGGCTTTACTGGATGCTATAATTTCTGCAGAGTAAGCACAATCTCTCTCCCTATAATTATATAATTATTTCAAGAGCTGCCTTCTTTCCCTAGAGGGCTAGCCAAATAAAAGTTATCAATAAGTTTTTTATGGCCAGTATTTCTCTCCGCAGGCCGAGTTTTCGTCTGAGTAAAGCAGTTGATACCCTAGAGCAATTCTTGCAGAAGTCCAGACTCTCTGCTTTAATATGGGAAATCTGCAAGCAGCATACAGAAGCCGGTTCTCCGGTTTTGCGCGAAGCAATTCTCAACAAAGTTGTATGTTTACCTGATCACTTAGGGAACAAACTCCACGAAGTCAACCGACCAGTCTTCTACCCTCAAAATTATTTTCCATTGCTTGGCATGGAAATTATCCAGGTGATGGAAAGAATTTCTGGCTCGCTACGTGGTAAGCATTGACAGACACATTAATGTATCTAGGGGGTGAACAGGCAAAAACTGCTGTGAACTACTGAACAGGAGGGAAGGGTGTATAAGCGAAAATAAATACAATTACAGGAGAAAATTGCTTTTTTAAATGATAAGGTGTTTGCTTCTAAGAGAATTCATATAAACAGTTCTACATGCTGGGATTGAAAATAGAAGTTACTCCAAAGTCTACAAGTGGGAAAACTTTGATCTCCCAGACATAAACTCCCACAAGTAATAATGGCACTTCAGTCTATCATTACTTAGACCAGTGTCTTTCAATCTTGGCAACTTTTAAGATATGTAGATTTCAACTCCCAGAATACCCCAGCCAACTTGCTCACCAGAATTCTGGGAGTTGAAGTCCACACATCTTAAAGTTGTTAAGGTTGAGAATCACTGGCCTTGATATTGTTTCTGTTTCTCTCATCAAGTGTGTTTTGGCTGGCTTGGAGAAAGTTAAAGCAGACTGAGTATTGATTTAAAAAAAGGTTTTGGGATAGAAATGGATCTGACCAATCCCTTCACTGTTGTGCTTTTATGTTTTTCCAGATGGTTTGGATTGTTCCATTTCCTTTGTATCTCAAGTGTTAGGAAAGGTCTGTGTGCATGGAAGACAAAGTGAGTACTGTATATGATATTGCTGTTTTTCTGTTGCTCAGGTTGAATGAAATATGTAAGTGGAGGGCTACCAGCAATCCATAAGCTCTTTTTCCTCTTCAAAATGTTACAGGTTTAAGATTGAGGATTTGAACTAAGCCAACTAAGGAGTAACATAAATATGTAGCAGATTGTTATTGAAGGAAAGAGAGGCTGTGCAATTTTCTTGTAGTCTGTGGTGCAAACAAAATTGCCCCGTGGAGCATTATGGCTCACATAGTGGGGATGCTGGGTTGGAGGTTAGCAAGCTCATGTTTGAGACCTGAGTGTTGCTGGGTGGTGGAGTGAGCTCCCGTCATTCGCTCCAGCTCCTTGACAGGGACATGAAAGGAGCCTTCACAGGAATCCCTAGGCAACAGTGATGTCACCCCAAATCCCAAAATCTTCAACATTAGACTGTCTACTATTGACCTCACTCTTTCCTAAGAGATCTGTAGGGGGCGTGCATAAGTGCACCAAAACATGCCTACTGTCCCTGTCCTGTTGTTTCTTTTTTCTTATTCGTATCCATTTCATGTATTTATAACCATGTTTATACTTATACCTGTTATCTAATAATAGTTTGACCAAATAAATAAATAATCCTTTTAACCAGGAAGCGCTTTAAACGGTACCTTCAACACGAATGAGATGGGAACACAAATATCAAAGCACATTGGGTAGCTTTTTGACTTGATGACTCTTTTAAAAACCTACCTTCTGAAAAAGAGCGAGGACAGCTTGTTTTATGAGCTCCGTCCTTGCTTTTTTCCAATCTCAGAAGTGCCTGGTTTTGCTGTTTCTCAATGCAGAAGAAATCTTGAGCGTGTTGGTGCCTCACCTAACCAACTGCACTCAGTCTGATTGCATCTGGCAGAGAATCAGTTGGCGACTATTTGAGAGCGTGCCCGATCGCTGGATGGAAGCAGTGGTCTGTGGCTTGGTCCAGGCAGTCCCAGGGTAAGAGTTACTGGGAGAAGGTGGGGCTATGACACATGGACGTTTCGTCTTTTTCGTGTTCTGGCAACACCTGGAATCTAGCAGCCATCAAGAGGCCATACTGCTGCAAGTTAGAATTAATGCTAGTCTAGGGAAGAGAAGGACCAGGGGAGGCAGGAGAGCATCTTCCAATACTTGAGGGGCTGCCACAGAGAGGAGGAAGGAGTCAAGCTATTTTCCAAAGCACTCGAAGGCCAGACAAGGAATAATGGATGGAAACTGAACCAGGGGAGATTCAACCTGGAAATAAGGAGAAATTTTCTGACAGGGAGAACAATCAACTGATGGAACAGAAGTTGCGTTCGGAAGTTGTGGGAGCTTCATCCCTGGAGGCTTTCAAGAAGACATTGGACTGTCAGAATTTATGTAGGGTCTCCTGCTTGGGCGGGGGGATGGACTAGATGACCTACAAGGTCCCTTCCAACTCTGTTAATCTGTTAATCATGGGTCAACACTGTGTCTGAAAGCTGGTTTGGTCTAGTGGTAAAGGTGCTGGCTTATAAACCCGGAGGCTGAGTTCTACTCTCACTTGAAGAATAAATGCCATGTTATGACATTGGGCCAAGCTTTTTCTCTCAGTCCAGCTCACCTTCCAAGGTTTCCATATTGTGGAAAATAGATGGAGGAGGGAGTTTTAGGAGTGTTCATTTCCTTGAGTTACTTATAAAGCAATTAAGCGAGGGTAAAAATCAGCCACTCCAAGATCTAGTGGCTTTGTTTCGAACACTACTAGCAGTAGTTTTGAACTACTACTAGTTTTTAATACAACAGAAGAGTTTCACTGCTCTTCAGTTTTCCTGGTTGCTGGTCATTTGTGCCTCGGTTCGCAGATTATACTAAGGAAAACCCCAACTATCTTACAGCTTCACATTGGAATGTGCACTGTTGAAAAATAATAACTTGTTTGTTTTATGGGAGATAGATTATGTCGATTATTTCCCAATCCTTTTGGTATGTTTCTTAAAGGTACTGTGCACTTTTCTAAAACCTCTCTTAATCGGGGAAGCACAGGATACAGTAGTGACTAAAAACAGCCCAGTATTAACGTAACTGAATGTGTTGACTGTAAGTGTGTTTGTCTGCCTTGTTAGGCCCGTTGTGTTGTCGCGACTGCTGGGGAATTTGGTGGTCAAAAACAAGAAGGCCCAGTTTGTCATCACACAAAAACTGTTGCTGCTTCAGTACTGCTTTCCGGTGAGTATCTTAGTGGGGGAATGAAAGAGGTCAGTGAGACGGACTGGACTTAACCGCTTTTGAAAAGATTGGGATCTTACTCCTTTTCAAACAAGAATTAAAACATGGCAGTTATTCACAATATTCCCATTATAAAGTGAGTGCTTGGACACCAGATTTAATTCTCTTATCAGAAGTCTGTGTGATACAGAGGTAGTCCTCAGCGTATGACCAATTCAGTGAATTGTGCCTGATTTTACAACCTGGTTTTTTTTTTTGCCACTGTTGTTAAATGAATCACTGTGTTAAGTGAATCACACAGTCGTTAAGCAAACCAAGCTTCTGCCATTGGCTTGGCTTGTCGGAAGCCAGCCTGGGAAGATCACCAATGGCGATCACATGACCCCAAGATGCTGCAACCATGGTAAATATATGCCCGTTGCCAAGCAGCCAAATTTTGACCACGTGACCAAGGGGATACTGTGATGGTTGTAAGTGCAAGGTCATAAATCACTTTTTCAGTGCCACTGTCACTCCCAACAGTCACTAAATGGATGGTAACTTGAAGACTACCTGTGATTGTTACCTCTGTGCACCTTCAACCCTGCTATCAAGTGCTTCCTTCTTGGAATGGTTTACTGGGTTTTGTCAGCGTGTAAAGACGCTGAGCTTGTGGATCAGAAAGGTTAGCAGTTCGGTGGTTCGAATCCCTAGCGCCACGTAATGGAGTAAGCTCCCGTTACTTGTCCCAGCTTCTGCCAACCGAGCAGTTTGGAAGCATGTAAAAAATGCAAGTAGAAAAATAGGGAGCCCTTTGGTGGGAAGGGAATGGCGTTCCGTGTGCCTTTGGTGTTTAGTCCTGCCGGCCACATGACCACGGAGACGTCTTCAGACAGTGCTGGCTCTTCGGCTTTGTAACGGAGAGGAGCACCGCCCCCTAGAGCTGGAAACGACTACCACGTATGTGTGAGGGGAACCTTTACCTTTACCTAAACTCTCTGATTTGATTCCAGACCAAGGTGCTGCAGACTCTCCTTGGCTACCTTGCCCTGGATACCACACGGCGCTCCTTGCTGGCCAAAGTAAGCAGTGTATTAATGGAGGGCTTAATTGGTGGGCCTAAATATGGCAGAGGGTGGGATGAAGCAGCCCTTGTGGCCACGTCAAGGCCTGCAGGTTATGCTTCTCTCCGTTTGAGAGAGGCGGATGGAGGCAGCATCAGAACTGGGGTAGGAGTTCATTCCAGAGACAAATGGCTAGCAGATGCTTGGATTCACACGACTCAACACATCGATGGCAAAAAGGGTAAATGAAGTTGGTTGTTTAAAAGGATGTCTCTCCCTCTTAATTTTTTTTCTGCAACAACTATCCTCTTGAACAGGTTGGGCTGAGAGAGGAAGCGATCAAAAGTCACCCTGCCAGCTTCTATGGCTAATGTTGGACTTGCATCTGAGTTTTGTTACTATTGGTCCAGCCCCTTCACTACATTGGCTTTTCAAGAAGCTTTCCTACATCTAAATACGTAGAATAGAATAGAATAGAATAGAATAGAATAGAATAGAATAGAATAGAATAGAATAGAACAGAATTCTTTATTGGCCAGGTGTGTTTGGGCACACAAGGAATTTGTCTTGGTGCAAATGCTCTCAGGGTACCGAAAAGAAAAGATAGATTTGTCAAGAGTCAAGAATCAGGTGCAATGCTTAATAACAGATATAAGGTACAATAAGCAATCAAATCATACTAGGAAACAGTCAATATAAATTGTAAGGATACAAGCAACCAAGTTACAGTCATACGTTCCCTATAAATGGATAGATCCAGGGGTGGGTTTCTACCGGTTCTGTCCACCTCTGTAGAACCGGTAGCTCTGAAGAGCAGCAGACATAGAACTGGTTCTATGTCTGCTGATGTTTTTGCCCACATGCCCACCCGGGCTCTTACCTGATCTTTTTATTTCCTGATTTTTCAACTTCAGCTGCCAAACGAGGCACAGCTGCAGTTAAAAAAGCAGGAAAAGAGGGCTGTTTCAAAGGCTACGTCTCTGCCTGCAGCCTGCTGATGACGATTTACAGGCGTGCGGCTCCCAGCGTGCAGGGAAGCTTGTAAATCCCGAACCGGTAGTTAACCCTGTCGTTTCCCACCCCTGGATAGATCGCTCCTTGCCCTGTAAGAACTGCCCTGTCAGGTAGGGTGGGTTGACAAGACCAGGAGTGACCCAAAGTTGATCGGAGTGGATTTGAATCTGGGCTTCCCTGGTGCCAGTCTAGCATCTTCAAGCAGGAAAATTGCCTGCCTATCTTCCTTCAGGCTCAAAAGAGATGGGATGGGATGGGATGGGACAGAGCCGAAAGCCCACTCGGACCTGATGCTGAGCTTCTGATGCAGATTCTGAGAGAGCTGCTGGAGACCTGGAGTAGCAGCAGTGCTGTGAAACACTCCCCAGCCGAGCAGCAGCTCTACATCAGCAAGGCCATCCTCCTCTGTCTCTCTCATCTGGAAGAAGAAGACCTCTCAACCAGCCGACAAGGTAAAGGAGGCAGAAGAGGATCTGGCAGAAAGGATGGGGCAGAATTGGCTCCTTTCCCCGGTCTCAGGTTCTTCAAGAGCTGCTTCCTTATTGGAGCCATCGGCAGCCCATCCTTCTCCAGCTCTCCCTTCTTCCCTCCCCAACTTCTTTAGCCAAAATATGAGAAGGAGGCGTCAGAGAACGGATAGGGGAAAAGGTTCATAAAGGAAGTGTCAGGATTCCGGAAATCACCCCCATTTAAATCATGAGTCTCGAGCCAAACTTCCAAAACTTCAGAAGGATTTATTGGGAGTTAACATGCCCGGCACTGCCTGGGTGTAGCCGACTCTGAGACACATCATTCATTGTTACCCTTGACCCTGGGTTTTCCCCCACCCCGCTGGGTGTATCGTAATTCATATTCTCCAATGGGACACAACCATAGCCAAGAGTCATCAATCACGTTCTCCGGTTAGAATGCTGAAACTTCAGTCACCCGGTTACTATCTTTGAAAACATTGACGGAATGCACTTTTGGTTTGCAAGCTGCCGCACTGCTCCCCCTTTCTGCCTTTCTGTTGGCAACTCTAAAAAGACCATAGAAATATTTTATGAATGGACAAACATATTTTAAGTTCTACTTCTTGCTGGGAAAAGTTAAGGGAATGATGAAACTCCTACTCAGGTGTTCGATGGATACGTTGATCTGGCCTGATCAGAGGAGCACTTTGCATTTTAGGACGAACTTGTTCCTTTGCTTCTGGCTTGCCTTTCCAGAGCTCTTTACCAGCCTGATGGAGGGAATGAAATGCCACCTGGACAGTAATTTGCCCCGGATCCGTCGGATGGGCATGGTCGTAGCCGAATCTGTCAGCGCCAAGATAACGCCGGAAGGGCCCGCGTTGGTGTTCCAGGCAAGCAGCTAGAGTGATTTTGCTGTAGTGATTTCCGTTGCAAAAGCAGCACACTAAAGAAACCCCAATCTTTTTTTTTTTAATTATAAAAGTTTTATTTCAGTTTTCCACATTTTAAAAACATCTTTTTTAGTGAACAGCATGATTCCAGGTTTTCACATTTCCATACAAACATGTCTTTGATTACATACTCATCTTTCACGTTTAGTTTCATATCTTACTATGACTTTACATATTTTCTGTTATTTTTTCTCAAATACTTTCCTCCAGCTTATTTTATAAATTTTTCAATTCATTTCTTAGCCTATTTCCTTTAACTTTAAATAAATTTCATATCTTCATGTTCACTGTACGTTATACTTTTATCTGTCAGGTTTGCAATTTCATCGCGTATTCTTATTTCATCATTTCAAAAATTCCATCTCAATTCAAACATTTCGAAAAAAGTTCCCCCGACAATTACCAATTAGAGTGTGCCACCCCTATACAAATTAATAACAATAATTAAGCAACTACATAATATACATACCTCAATTAAACCCCAATTAAACCCCAATCTTAAATGTGTGGAAGGGAGGCTTTTTTTTTTTCTCCCTCTGCTTCTTGATCTTTCCCACGGGCGTTGTTGAGAGATTTCTGGCTTTTCCCGACCAAAATCATGAAAGGAGAAAAATTGGCTTCCACTTTTAAACAAATAACAGTTCCCTGTTGTACTGGAACTTGGGAAACTAATCAGAACATAAACAAATAGATTAAGCCAGGATCAGACTGTGGTTATGACCTTGGTCATAAGTACGGCTTCTTTCAAACCTGTACTTGAACCATTTGTCTGAAGCGGTGTAGGGTTTCCTGCCTAAGCAGGGGGTTGGACTAGAAGACCTCCAAGGTCCCTTCCAACTCTCTTATTCTATTCAGGTGGGCCAGTTTATTGATGGCTGAAGACCCCTGTCCCCATTTTGATGACTAGGGGCCCGTAGCGGCAGAATGACAGTGGGCTACAAAAGAGGGCAGAGTTCATAGGGAGCTTCCTTACCAGAGGGGAGTGATTCCCTGTGCCTGTTAATTGCAGGTAGTCCTCAACTTACAACAGTTCATTTAGTGACCGTTCAAAGTTACAACAGCGCTGGAAAAAAGCGACTTAGGACCGGTTTTCACACTCACGACCTTTGCAGCATGGCCCAGGATCCTGAAAAATCAAAATTCAGTTGCTTGGCAACAGACTCATACGTATGACCGTTGCTGTGTCCCCAGGTCATGTGATTTCCCCCTTCTGACAAGGCAAGTCAATGGGGAAGACAGGTTCACTTAACAACCGGGTGACCAGCTTTACAGCTGCCGGGATTCACTTAACAACGGAGGCAAGAAAGGTCATAAAAATGGGCCAAAACTCACTGAACAAACGTCTCCCCGAAGAACAGAAGTTTTGGGCTCGGTTATGGTCGTAAGTCGAGGACTACCGGTATAATTTCTTTCAGCTGTTATGCTCAGCAGCCATTTCCTGCAAGGAAGCATCAAATCCAGGTTTAGGACTTGTGCTGATCCTTTCCCCAGAAGCTAACCTTGATCTCTTAACTAGTCTCTTCAGCAAATTTGAATGGTTAACCTGTCGAATGTTTCAGTATGAAGAAGACGATGAGATTAAAGAGCTGAAATCCTTGCTGAACCAAAGACTGGAAGAGGCGCTAGACCCCAAGCCCCCAGACACTGGGTAAGCTTTAGGGGGTGCATGGAGGGAGGGAGGGGGAGGGAGGGAGAGGGAGAGGGAGGGGGGGGGGGGGGGAGGGAGGGAGGGAGAGGGAGGGAGGGAG